TAGTAGTAGTAGTAGTAGTAGTAGTAGTAGTAGTAGTAGTAGTAGTAGTAGTAGTAGTAGTAGTAGTAGTAGTAGTAGTAGTAGTAGTAGTAGTAGTAGTAGTAGTAGTAGTAGTAGTAGTAGTAGTAGTAGTAGTAGTAGTAGTAGTAGTAGTAGTAGTAGTAGTAGTAGTAGTAGTAGTAGTAGTAGTAGTAGTAGTAGTAGTAGTAGTAGTAGTAGTAGTAGTAGTAGTAGTAGTAGTAGTAGTAGTAGTAGTAGTAGTAGTAGTAGTAGTAGTAGTAGTAGTAGTAGTAGTAGTAGTAGTAGTAGTAGTAGTAGTAGTAGTAGTAGTAGTAGTAGTAGTAGTAGTAGTAGTAGTAGTAGTAGTAGTAGTAGTAGTAGTAGTAGTAGTAGTAGTAGTAGTAGTAGTAGTAGTAGTAGTAGTAGTAGTAGTAGTAGTAGTAGTAGTAGTAGTAGTAGTAGTAGTAGTAGTAGTAGTAGTAGTAGTAGTAGTAGTAGTAGTAGTAGTAGTAGTAGTAGTAGTAGTAGTAGTAGTAGTAGTAGTAGTAGTAGTAGTAGTAGTAGTAGTAGTAGTAGTAGTAGTAGTAGTAGTAGTAGTAGTAGTAGTAGTAGTAGTAGTAGTAGTAGTAGTAGTAGTAGTAGTAGTAGTAGTAGTAGTAGTAGTAGTAGTAGTAGTAGTAGTAGTAGTAGTAGTAGTAGTAGTAGTAGTAGTAGTAGTAGTAGTAGTAGTAGTAGTAGTAGTAGTAGTAGTAGTAGTAGTAGTAGTAGTAGTAGTAGTAGTAGTAGTAGTAGTAGTAGTAGTAGTAGTAGTAGTAGTAGTAGTAGTAGTAGTAGTAGTAGTAGTAGTAGTAGTAGTAGTAGTAGTAGTAGTAGTAGTAGTAGTAGTAGTAGTAGTAGTAGTAGTAGTAGTAGTAGTAGTAGTAGTAGTAGTAGTAGTAGTAGTAGTAGTAGTAGTAGTAGTAGTAGTAGTAGTAGTAGTAGTAGTAGTAGTAGTAGTAGTAGTAGTAGTAGTAGTAGTAGTAGTAGTAGTAGTAGTAGTAGTAGTAGTAGTAGTAGTAGTAGTAGTAGTAGTAGTAGTAGTAGTAGTAGTAGTAGTAGTAGTAGTAGTAGTAGTAGTAGTAGTAGTAGTAGTAGTAGTAGTAGTAGTAGTAGTAGTAGTAGTAGTAGTAGTAGTAGTAGTAGTAGTAGTAGTAGTAGTAGTAGTAGTAGTAGTAGTAGTAGTAGTAGTAGTAGTAGTAGTAGTAGTAGTAGTAGTAGTAGTAGTAGTAGTAGTAGTAGTAGTAGTAGTAGTAGTAGTAGTAGTAGTAGTAGTAGTAGTAGTAGTAGTAGTAGTAGTAGTAGTAGTAGTAGTAGTAGTAGTAGTAGTAGTAGTAGTAGTAGTAGTAGTAGTAGTAGTAGTAGTAGTAGTAGTAGTAGTAGTAGTAGTAGTAGTAGTAGTAGTAGTAGTAGTAGTAGTAGTAGTAGTAGTAGTAGTAGTAGTAGTAGTAGTAGTAGTAGTAGTAGTAGTAGTAGTAGTAGTAGTAGTAGTAGTAGTAGTAGTAGTAGTAGTAGTAGTAGTAGTAGTAGTAGTAGTAGTAGTAGTAGTAGTAGTAGTAGTAGTAGTAGTAGTAGTAGTAGTAGTAGTAGTAGTAGTAGTAGTAGTAGTAGTAGTAGTAGTAGTAGTAGTAGTAGTAGTAGTAGTAGTAGTAGTAGTAGTAGTAGTAGTAGTAGTAGTAGTAGTAGTAGTAGTAGTAGTAGTAGTAGTAGTAGTAGTAGTAGTAGTAGTAGTAGTAGTAGTAGTAGTAGTAGTAGTAGTAGTAGTAGTAGTAGTAGTAGTAGTAGTAGTAGTAGTAGTAGTAGTAGTAGTAGTAGTAGTAGTAGTAGTAGTAGTAGTAGTAGTAGTAGTAGTAGTAGTAGTAGTAGTAGTAGTAGTAGTAGTAGTAGTAGTAGTAGTAGTAGTAGTAGTAGTAGTAGTAGTAGTAGTAGTAGTAGTAGTAGTAGTAGTAGTAGTAGTAGTAGTAGTAGTAGTAGTAGTAGTAGTAGTAGTAGTAGTAGTAGTAGTAGTAGTAGTAGTAGTAGTAGTAGTAGTAGTAGTAGTAGTAGTAGTAGTAGTAGTAGTAGTAGTAGTAGTAGTAGTAGTAGTAGTAGTAGTAGTAGTAGTAGTAGTAGTAGTAGTAGTAGTAGTAGTAGTAGTAGTAGTAGTAGTAGTAGTAGTAGTAGTAGTAGTAGTAGTAGTAGTAGTAGTAGTAGTAGTAGTAGTAGTAGTAGTAGTAGTAGTAGTAGTAGTAGTAGTAGTAGTAGTAGTAGTAGTAGTAGTAGTAGTAGTAGTAGTAGTAGTAGTAGTAGTAGTAGTAGTAGTAGTAGTAGTAGTCGTAGTCGTAGTAGTAGTAGTAGTAGTAGTAGTAGTAGTAGTAGTAGTAGTAGTAGTAGTAGTAGTAGTAGTAGTAGTAGTAGTAGTAGTAGTAGTAGTAGTAGTAGTAGTAGTAGTAGTAGTAGTAGTAGTAGTAGTAGTAGTAGTAGTAGTAGTAGTAGTAGTAGTAGTAGTAGTAGTAGTAGTAGTAGTAGTAGTAGTAGTAGTAGTAGTAGTAGTAGTAGTAGTAGTAGTAGTAGTAGTAGTAGTAGTAGTAGTAGTAGTAGTAGTAGTAGTAGTAGTAGTAGTAGTAGTAGTAGTAGTAGTAGTAGTAGTAGTAGTAGTAGTAGTAGTAGTAGTTGCGGGTACGCATCTCATTTTGCTTACTTCGGTGGGCCGTCACCTGTTTCCGCGGGTGCCGGGCCTCGTATCAGCGGCGTCGCCAGTCGTCTTTCCTGGTGGAGTGCCGGCAGATGGGTGGCCGATGAGCTGTTGCCATGGCAAGGGGGCTGCTGAGTTGCCGGCTTGGCACGGGGTGGACTCGCTGCCGATGGTACGGTGTAGGATGTATGTACAATGTAGGTACTTCACTCTGTTGTCATTTGTCTGTCTATTTGTTGAATTGGATAGGTGTACGGACAGTTCTCCACAATGCATGCACATCCATTCATAACATTCATGACAGGTAATTTATATTGACATTGGCTTAGACTTGCATACATGACGGGACCTGTTACTTTAATTTTCACTTTGAGTTTAAAGTTTTCTTCTTTTGACATTGGATTTGACATTGGATTTGACATTGGATTTACTAATTGATTTGACGTTATTTAAAGGAGTTTCCTTTTTTTTAATTGAATTGATCTTCAATGATTTACGATTTCACGTTTCCGCTATTTTGCCCGTAAAAGAGGCTTGTCACTAGTAGTAGTAGTAGTAGTAGTAGTAGTAGTAGTAGTAGTAGTAGTAGTAGTAGTAGTAGTAGTAGTAGTAGTAGTAGTAGTAGTAGTAGTAGTAGTAGTAGTAGTAGTAGTAGTAGTAGTAGTAGTAGTAGTAGTAGTAGTAGTAGTAGTAGTAGTAGTAGTAGTAGTAGTAGTAGTAGTAGTAGTAGTAGTAGTAGTAGTAGTAGTAGTAGTAGTAGTAGTAGTAGTAGTAGTAGTAGTAGTAGTAGTAGTAGTAGTAGTAGTAGTAGTAGTAGTAGTAGTAGTAGTAGTAGTAGTAGTAGTAGTAGTAGTAGTAGTAGTAGTAGTAGTAGTAGTAGTAGTAGTAGTAGTAGTAGTAGTAGTAGTAGTAGTAGTAGTAGTAGTAGTAGTAGTAGTAGTAGTAGTAGTAGTAGTAGTAGTAGTAGTAGTAGTAGTAGTAGTAGTAGTAGTAGTAGTAGTAGTAGTAGTAGTAGTAGTAGTAGTAGTAGTAGTAGTAGTAGTAGTAGTAGTAGTAGTAGTAGTAGTAGTAGTAGTAGTAGTAGTAGTAGTAGTAGTAGTAGTAGTAGTAGTAGTAGTAGTAGTAGTAGTAGTAGTAGTAGTAGTAGTAGTAGTAGTAGTAGTAGTAGTAGTAGTAGTAGTAGTAGTAGTAGTAGTAGTAGTAGTAGTAGTAGTAGTAGTAGTAGTAGTAGTAGTAGTAGTAGTAGTAGTAGTAGTAGTAGTAGTAGTAGTAGTAGTAGTAGTAGTAGTAGTAGTAGTAGTAGTAGTAGTAGTAGTAGTAGTAGTAGTAGTAGTAGTAGTAGTAGTAGTAGTAGTAGTAGTAGTAGTAGTAGTAGTAGTAGTAGTAGTAGTAGTAGTAGTAGTAGTAGTAGTAGTAGTAGTAGTAGTAGTAGTAGTAGTAGTAGTAGTAGTAGTAGTAGTAGTAGTAGTAGTAGTAGTAGTAGTAGTAGTAGTAGTAGTAGTAGTAGTAGTAGTAGTAGTAGTAGTAGTAGTAGTAGTAGTAGTAGTAGTAGTAGTAGTAGTAGTAGTAGTAGTAGTAGTAGTAGTAGTAGTAGTAGTAGTAGTAGTAGTAGTAGTAGTAGTAGTAGTAGTAGTAGTAGTAGTAGTAGTAGTAGTAGTAGTAGTAGTAGTAGTAGTAGTAGTAGTAGTAGTAGTAGTAGTAGTAGTAGTAGTAGTAGTAGTAGTAGTAGTAGTAGTAGTAGTAGTAGTAGTAGTAGTAGTAGTAGTAGTAGTAGTAGTAGTAGTAGTAGTAGTAGTAGTAGTAGTAGTAGTAGTAGTAGTAGTAGTAGTAGTAGTAGTAGTAGTAGTAGTAGTAGTAGTAGTAGTAGTAGTAGTAGTAGTAGTAGTAGTAGTAGTAGTAGTAGTAGTAGTAGTAGTAGTAGTAGTAGTAGTAGTAGTAGTAGTAGTAGTAGTAGTAGTAGTAGTAGTAGTAGTAGTAGTAGTAGTAGTAGTAGTAGTAGTAGTAGTAGTAGTAGTAGTAGTAGTAGTAGTAGTAGTAGTAGTAGTAGTAGTAGTAGTAGTAGTAGTAGTAGTAGTAGTAGTAGTAGTAGTAGTAGTAGTAGTAGTAGTAGTAGTAGTAGTAGTAGTAGTAGTAGTAGTAGTAGTAGTAGTAGTAGTAGTAGTAGTAGTAGTAGTAGTAGTAGTAGTAGTAGTAGTAGTAGTAGTAGTAGTAGTAGTAGTAGTAGTAGTAGTAGTAGTAGTAGTAGTAGTAGTAGTAGTAGTAGTAGTTGCGGGTACGCATCTCATTTTGCTTACTTCGGTGGGCCGTCACCTGTTTCCGCGGGTGCCGGGCCTCGTATCAGCGGCGTCGCCAGTCGTCTTTCCTGGTGGAGTGCCGGCAGATGGGTGGCCGATGAGCTGTTGCCATGGCAAGGGGGCTGCTGAGTTGCCGGCTTGGCACGGGGTGGACTCGCTGCCGATGGTACGGTGTAGGATGTATGTACAATGTAGGTACTTCACTCTGTTGTCATTTGTCTGTCTATTTGTTGAATTGGATAGGT